CAATGTCTATGTGCAACTGACTGCACTCAGACCAAAGGGGGCTGAATAATTACGCACACCCCACTTTGCAGTTATTTATTTGTAAAAAAATGTTTGGAATCATGTATGATTTTCGTTCCACTTCTCACGTGTACACCACTTTGTGTTGGTCTTTCACGTGGAATTCCAATAAAATTGATTCATGTTTTGTGGCTGTAATGTGACAAAAGGTGGGAAGGTTCAAGGGGCCAAATACTTTTGCAAGCCACTGAATGGGCTGTTTGGAAGAGCTGCCAGGATAAATCGTTTTCTCTTTAAATAGAAAATGCCAGTACAGCTTAGGTTTGCAAAGGTGCATCTGAACAAACCACAAGACTTCAATGTCCTTTGGATAGATGAGACCCAAGTGGAGATTTTTTGGTCAAAATACAAAGCACATTTGGGGAAAACCAAACGCAGAATATAAGCACAAACAACTCATAAAAACTGTCAGCACAGTGGTGGAGGGTTAATGGTTTGAACTTGTTTTGTAATCACAGGACCAGGCGCTTGTGACCTGAACTTCTCTATATGCTAACCAATTCTAGAGTCAAATTTCAGGCCATCAGTCTGACAGCTAAAGTTTGGCACAAAAACAAACAGGAGAATGGTCCCAAGCAAAGCAGCAACAACAGAATGGCTGAAAAAGAGTGTCTCAATCGGCCAATTAGCATCCAGACCTCAACCTAATTGAAATGCTGTGGTGGGACATTAAGAGAGGTGTGCATAAATGCATACCTGCAAAATTACGATTAAATGAGGCAACATTGTAAAGTAGAACTGAATCAAGCAATTTAATCGTGAGATAAACATAGTTTTACTGTCAAAACTTTTATTTTCACATGAATGTATACATACAGTTCTTATCTTAACATTTTACATACCGTGTCCGTGGTGATGTCATTGTCTGATCCCGCCCACTGCGTCGCCTTGTCAACCACCAGGATCCCGACTACTGAGTTGGGCTCCAGTACACTCACATTCAGGGTCACAGTCTCAGCTGGCCTCTTTACAACACTGCTCCAACTAAGCGACACCTGCCAATCACAGGTTGATTAGTCACAAATTTGCAAAAGTACCATTTTACTCGTTATTTCCTGTTATATATGTCCTGCTCTAATGGTGGATGTTCATATTAAACATGCACAAAAATTTTAAACCATAATGTAAAAATAAGTCATCTCTGTGAGCAAAAATGTGAGATTTCAAAATTCTGAGGTTTGTTTTTTTGTTTGCTTTTTTTTTTTCTCAACTCTTTGATGTGTATGAAATCAGTGAAAAATAATGTGCCAAATGTGGTCATCTTAGGCGCAAACGTCCTGCCTACTAATTAGACAAAGTCAGCCTGAAAAGCTAAAAGCAAGACCAGTTTAAGAAAAATAAAGATTATTTAGAACTTTAATAAAGTCAGGGAATAAGTCAGTTAGGATATTTAGGAGTTACGTATAAAGGTCCAGTCAGACCATCTTTTAACATAAGAAATATATTCACAATAATATAATAAAGAAATATTATTCCTGGTTGTGAACAGATAGTCACAGGATGTTCAGAGACACACACTAGCATTATGGCACAGGGCAGCAGAAGATATAAACCTCATTGGGATAAGAAATGGACTCCAGAGCAAGAAGACACCAGTTCAGGTTACCTTTGCAGGTTGTTGTCTTTTCATGAGCTTTTAGGCTTTTTCACAAAATACAATATTTTGCTTGTTTTTCTAATTGCTAGATAGAAGGACACCAGGCAGAGGGCAAACGTATTTCTCCAACACTGACACAACTTTCATTCAACTATTCTTTTCTTTTTCTTCTTTTTTTTTTTTTACTAAGACTAGACATTGAGAAAAGATGACGGTTACTCACTGCTGAAATGTTTGCTGGGAAATTATTATCATGTAACTTGGATTATTTTTTCTTCACCGTTTTTTCCAACTTCATAACCTCATATTCACACAATTCAAGAGACAAATTAGTTTATTTTTCAAAGAAAAAAATGAACAAAGAAAAATCACCTGGTTTTGTAAAAACTGCCTGATTGGCAGCTGGATTGCATCATTGATGACCTCTCCGCTGGGGTGCACACAGTAAACGATGATGCAGGCCAGAGGAGCCCAGGAGACTTCTGGGACCAGAGTCAGATCAGGAGAGCCTTTCCCGGCAGAAATCGCCTGACCTCTTGACTTCACCTTTACACACAAGATACAGACGGAAGGTCTTATAAGAAGCTGGAAGCATACATTCATCTTTCTTTGCTTACAGCAATAAACTGAATACTTAAAACTTCTTGTCACCACTACTGGAAAACAAACAACTTTCAACAGTTGGAAATGTGCTTTATTTAAATATTAATCAAATTAACTACAAATTAGACAAAGTGTAATAATATTTGATGCTTTTTTCATACCAGGTAGTGAACCTCATTCAATGGAAAATTACTTTCAATGTGCAGCAGAAAGGGCGAACCAACCTGAAAGAAGGTCAAATGGTGACATTACGTATGAGTATAAATGTTCTACAACCACAGTCAGTAATTGGCTGTAAATCTGTTTTTTGAAGATCTACACTGGAAGAGTCATTCTAGAAGCCTCACCATCTTCACACAACCAGTCACTTGGAAGCATTGTACAGCGCTTTGAAGGCCCCGAAAAGCGCTATATAAAATGCAATCCATTATTATCATTATTAACTAAGTTAACTTTAATTTGAATCATAGGCAGGACATAAAAACTGAATGTTTATAATTACTAAGCAAATGTAAATGAAACAAATTGTTATAATGAACTCAGTGCATGTGATTGAGGTGTGTTGAAAGGACATCTAAGGTAACCATAGACTATTTTGGCATATTACCTGCATGTTTACAATGCTGACACAAAGGTAATTTTAAATAGTTCCTTGTATTCTTCAGCTTTACCTCTGGAGGTGTGAAGGGTTTCTGAATCTGCAGGTAGCTCTCACTGGGGGATGTGTAGCTTCGCTGTATATATAGATTGCTATGGCTGTCCTCAAAAGAAGCCTGAGAAGAAAAAGAGATACCAAAGATTTTAAATGTAATTTGAAATCATGATCATGCTGTCATGTCTCTTCTTTCTCCGCAAACTAAGAAGAGCAGGAGCACCAGCCCCCATCATGCACACTTTCTACAGAGGCACCATCGAGAGCATCCTGTCGAGCTGCATCACTGTGTGGTTTGGAGCCTGCAATGCGTCCTGTCATAGAACCCTCCAACGCATAGTGAGAGCTGCAGAGAGGATCATTGGTGTCTCTCTCCCCTCCCTCCAGGACATTTACAGCACCCGTCTCACTAAAAAAGCCCTTTGCATAGCGGCTGATCCCACGCACCCAATGCAAAGCTTCTTCAAGCTGCTGCCGTCAGGGAGGAGACTGCGGAGTCTCCAGGCCAGGACCAGCAGACTGAAGGACAGCTTCATCCATCAGGCTGTCAGGAAGCTTAACTCCCTCCCGATTCTGCCCCCTCTCCCCTCTTCTCCTCCATGGTCTCACTGAACTCTGTCACATACACACACACACACACACACACACTCTCTCACTCACTCACTGGCCTGCACCAGTTACCAGTCACTTTGTGGAGCATTGGACTGCCATTACCTCATAAGACTTTGTTGTTATAGTATCTCTTACCGTATATTACTAGATCTCCATTTGCACTATTTGCCTATTTGCACTACTCTGCCTGGTTTACACTCAATGTCATTTACCCTTACCTGAATATTGTATATTGTATATTGTATATTGCATAGCTTTCTTGTTAAATTGTATTGTATTTATTTAAATTTTTACTTTTTAATTATTTTATTTGCATTTTTTAATCACTCTCTTATATTTAAATGTTCATTTGCTATTTCATCTAGGGTTTGAGAGTAACGAAATTTCTATTCTCTGTATGTCCTGTACATGTGGCAGAATTGACAAATAAAGTTGACTTTGACTTTGACTTTTGACTTTGATGCTTTTGGGTTTAATTTCTGTTTTAGTTAACACGTAAATATTTTTCATATTAATTTATTTATCTATTCAAGTGTAATTTCTTTTGTACGTGATTTTCTTGTCAGGTGTGGATTTTTCACAGTAGATTACTTTATTCTTGCCTGTAGCTATTAGCACTCTCCACCTCACCTAGCAACTACAGAATAAAATAAGCCTTTAGCTTTTTAGGTACAATATGTGAGTTGTAAAATCCTGCTGCTAAATAAAAATACATTTAAGCAAATAAATGATAATATCACAAAAAAAAAACCCACACAAGATAAACAATATTAAACAAACATGTTGTGCTTTTTCTTGTTAGATATTAAATATGATAAAAATCATTTTTCATTATACAGTTACCTTTAAAATTTTGTTTTGTGTTATGAATATAGTTAATGCAAAATAAATCTTTAAAAATCACATAATTCAGTTGATATTCAGAATTATCATAACACCCTGATATAATAAAGACATATATTCCAAATTTTTCACAAGTTATACTTAGCCTATTTTCTAAATTAAACTTAGAATTGAAATTAAATTAGCTTTCAGTTGGCCCCTGAATTGGTAAACACACAATTTTGTCCCTCTTCTATGCAGATGAGACACCAATTTATATTTCAGCGTAGTGCAATATGTCCTAAGACTTTAATGCATTTTGCCATTTCTTTCGATATAAATACATAATATTGAAAAAATATCAGCAGATGTCAATGATCTATCTACAGAGTATATTTGTTCAATTTAATGTTGACCAGTACATTTGAAATCATATGTTTAGCTGTGCAGTGACTCATTTGTTAATTAAAATTTAAATATAAAATTAAAAGTTAATTGAAAGTACTAATTCTGTAATTTTTTTTTCCAAAATTGGATCCTAAATTAAGAAATAAGCCGTGTCTGAAAGCAAAGGCTAAACAGATAAAGTAAAACAATAATAATTTTCAAGATTTCTTAACAGAACTAAAGGCCTTGTTACTTAATCCCACATCCAGACATTTTAAAGTCAAATTTTGAAATAATCTGTCTTATAATATTTAGTCAATGAGGGTATTATTGTATAACTTACATCAATACTGAGCATGTCTGTTTCACTTGTGATTTCAATGCTGAAAGGTATGAGTCCATCTGCAGGAACAGGAAACTTCATTTCTTTAGGTAGCATCTCCTTTGGACTTTCTGAAGTTCCTGAACTGTTCGATGTTTTAGGCTCCGTGTCTATCACCATGTCTCCGATCCAACCCCAAAATCTTTGCTTTTGCTGAATCACTGAAACTTCAACAAAGCTTTGGCGATCCTCCAGTGACAGTGGCTGATTGTTGTATGTAGATATTTTCAGCTACAAAATTAGAAAAATAAATTAGCATAATTGTTTTACATTAACACTGGAATATCTGTTATCTGTACAGCTCAGACTCTGCATTTCACTTAAATGCTGCCTTCTTACCCTGGCGCTGAAGGTTAAAGAGGGCCTCAATAATTTGTGATATTCTTCAAAGGAGACTTTATATCTGGTTTTTGACAAACCTACTGTTGCCGTACTGTTATATGTAATGCCTGAAAAATGAGACGTAGTCACAGGAGTCAGCACCACAAACAAGAAGAAAAGCTGGTTAGATTCCAAAAAATAATGTAGACTATCTCCCTGACTTTGTAATTTAAAAAAACTATAGCAGTTTAAAGTCCCACAGTAGAGAGCAAATGCAATGCATCTGGGAAAAAAAATACTCACAGCGCTTCACTTGTTTCCCATTTTGTCATGTTATAGCCTTATTATCATAAAATAGATTAAATTCATTTTTCACCTTGTCATTATGAGGTACACACAACACCACATAATAACAAAGCGAAAGAAGTTTGCTTAAAATTCTGGCAAATTTATCGTATGTCGTGATATTCAAAACGTGCAATGGTCCCATTAACACTATGCATCACATAGCTGTGTGTGCATGTCAGGCCAACCAAGCCACGAAGTCCTAGAGATTGTCTGTAGACCTCTAAAATTGTAAAGAGGCACAATCTGGAGTAGGGTACAGAAAAAAAGTATTGAAGGTCCGAATGAGCACACCGACTCCCCCCCATCCAACCTAATGGTGCTTGTGAGGTTCTGTAAAGAAGAATGGGAGAAACTGCCCAGAAATAGGTGAGCCAAGCATGTGGCACCATAGCCAAAAAGACTCAATGCACTTCAACAAAGTATTAAGCAAAGGCTATGAATACTTATGTACATGTCACATTTTTGTCTTTATTTTTAATAAAGAATAAAAAAAACTTTGCAGAATTTTCAAGCAAATGTTTTCACTTTATCATTACGGGATATTCTGTGCACAATTTGGGGGAGAAAAATGATGTTTTAATTGTATGTAAATAATGTAAATATTGTAATACACACTAATTTCACAAAAATATGAGCTTGGACACTGCCTGGAATAAAACTCTACACCTGGAAATGCTGAAACTCAGAAGTTAGAAGTACTTAAAACAATATATGAAATACATGCATACATAACATAACAAAAAGTAAAGAAATAAGCTGTAAATTGTCACTTCCGATCTGTACAACCAATCTTTTGGTATTTCAAGTTAACATTTATAAATAAAATCTGAATTACCTGTGAGGTATTCAGTCACATGAGCCACAACTGTTACGTCCTCAGCGTTTCCCTCGTAGTACATCATTTTGGAATCATTTCTCATTTGGAAATAATCAGGAGCATCAAATGTGAAGCTTTCAGTACCATCAATCTGATGAAAAGGAACACTGTTAATGTGTTAAATCTATGATGGTTAAGTTTAAATAAACTGTATATTCTCAAATGTTGTAATCAGGACAGGAGTCCTTCAGTCAAAAATGATTTAATCAATATAAAGAGAAGGTAATTAGTAATCTTAAGCGTGATATATTACATATATCATGCATGTTGCATTAATAGTTTACGAGACAGTATAAATGTATGTTTATACTACATTTAGAGATATTTTTCACTGTGTAGAAAACTTAATATTTAGAAAAAATGTAATTAAAAATGCTTTCAGTCTGTAATTTTATTTTAATAGTTTAAATAAAGAAAAATAAACAAGTTCAGATAGTGGGAGAGCCTATAATGATAACTGTACAGCTGAATATTAAAGGAATAATTACACAATGATTCCACTGACATACGAACCTCTCTGTCCTCATAGTAAAACTCGACAGTACCGTGAAAGTGATAAATGAACGTCATATTCAGGTGTCCCTGAACGGGCTTCCCGTAAGTGTACCTGTGGATGGAAAGATCATAAATAATCCTGAGGAGCAACTTCATTCACACACAAACTGGATCAAAGCCAAGTCTCACTTTGCTGTGATGGAGCCCTCCAGAGGGTCCTCACGGTAAATGACATCCGGAGCATCGATCAAAACCTCAAACTTTGGCAGCACTGCAACCAAAAGATACACACACATGTTGGATATTCATATCTTGTGGGGACATCTAATTGACATAATGCTTTCCCGAGCTGCTTACCCTAATGAAATACAAATGCCTAACCCTAACCCAATTGTAACCCTGTTACTAAAACCACATTTTGAGTCTCAAAAATGCCTTCAAACTTGTGGGGACCAGGAGTTTGGTCCCCATAAGGACTGTTGGTCCCCACAAGTATAGTAAACTTCCTATTTTGGTCCCCACAAAGATATGAATACACACTCACACACACAAAATTAATATGTGTTTTTATTCTTCAAAAGGAGGAAGCTGTACATGTAATGCTGGATAGAGAAAACATCCATACCATATTGAGCCACAGTGAAGTACTTCACACTTGAAATGTCCTGCAACACACAGAGGATCTTTATAACATCATCTCTCTTTGTTCTTTTTATAAGGAAAATCTATTCCTTCATTCTTTCACTCAGTCTGACTTTAACTGGTGTGTATAAATGTTACAGCCACAGAAGTCCCCTTCACATTCACAGCACGAGTTGTGAGTTACTGAAACTTAAGATCGTTTTTTTTTTATGAAAGGGACTCTTGCCTGTGCTGCTATTTATCCATTCAATTGTTCCAATGGAATCTGCCCTGTTACAGAGTTATCCACTGCAGAGAGGTCCGATTACTCTCGTCATTAATCACGCAAGATCAAATACATTTAAAAAATGCAGCAGTGATTTCTCTGACCAGAAATCACGCACAAATATCAAATAAAAATATCCAAGAACCAAAAAATATTTAGATTTTGTACTTTTGCTTGTCTCAAAAACAAAGGGTTAGGGTCACCAGTGATGAGAAGGTTAGTATAAATCAAAACTACGAGTAAATCAGGTACGAGCAACACTGACATACTCTTTGAAGCAAAGATGAATAAGTTAAAGGAAATGATTCCATATGTTTTTAAATGTCTTAATAGATCTTGTTAGGGAATCAGCCTTATATTTTGATGCAAACCTGGAGATGTGGAGGTGAGACATTTTTCATACTGTGCATTAATTATAGGTTTCCTGTCAAACAGATTAGTGCCACTGACCGCATGAATGTCTTTGCACAAAAGATCTGACTTTGGCAGAAGCAATCAGTGGTCAGGTGGATTAGATTGAATTATCAGAGGCCTGTCCAGCTTAATCACCCTGCAGAGGTTCACCTGCTAAAGGACTTACTTTGACTGTAGCGATGATGGTCCACTGACCCAGAGGAGGGTTTTCAGACAGCTGAAACTCTTTGGACACAACGCCAAGGACGCTGTCTGCAGCCAGCCACTGCCTGAGCAGGTTTCCCCTCGGATCCTGGACCAGGAAAAAACATGCTGATCAGACGATTTTCAGAATTTCAGTTTGTGCTTTGAAAAACGTCCAGCAAGTTTACAGGCAAGTGACTGATTTAGCCACCAGTGCTGACGAATGCTAGTGAATGCTAGTGCAAAGAAGAAAGTTCATAGCTGGAAATTCATTAATTAAAATGATGCTCATATGAATATGAAGTATGTGTAATAGAATTAACTCATAATCCAATCAACCAGACGCAGAAGTTGTCCAAGTAAAACTCCCCTGAGATCTTTTAAAAATAGTCTCTGATCTTCCCCTCTTGTCCTCTCTTTCTTCCATGCTTTTGGTACAATAACATCATTCTTACCCTGATGATGATGTCCACGGGGCTGATGAAGGGCTTCCCATCAGAGTGAATGGAAACAATTCTGATCTTCACCGTCTGCCCAGGTAAGTACATTACTTTGTCTGTTTGAATGAAGGTGGCGATATCTTCGACATTCAAGTGGAGCTTTGTGGAGCTGGAGAAAACCTGGACTTCTCCTCTGTGACCTTTGACCTCCAGTATGTAGGCCTCCCAGTGATTGGGCTCGCTGTCACTAATCTGCAAGAATTCAACATGGAAGGAAATTCATCAACACTTAAATGACAAACAGTCACATTATAGTGCTCTGAACGGATAATTGGAGGTGAGCTTCCCTCCCTCCAAGACATCAACAGGAAGCGGTGCCTGAGGAAAGCGGGGAGGATCATCAAGGACTCCAGTCACCCCAGCCATAAACTGTTCAGACTACTTCCATCAGGAAGGAGGTTCTGCAGCATCCGGTCCCGTACCAGCAGACTGAGAGACAGCTTTTTCCATCAGGCCATCAGACTGCTGAACACGTCATAGACACCTCAGCTTCACTACTGGAACTTTAACATTATACACTCCATACTATACAGTAATGCCACTGTTTTGCACATGTCTCACTCTGTATATTTTATTTTATTTTATTTATTTTATATATTCTATTCATTGTTTACTCTATTAATTTGTAAAATATGTGTACACACACACACGTAGAAAAATATTTAGTATACACATCCAGAAATGCATATACTATTATATATTGTACATATATTTATTAGTTTCAGATGTAGCCATTCTTGTATTTTGCTTGTTTACATTATTGTATTTTGCACAACTCTGTTGCTTGTGAAGCTCGCACACAAGAATTTCACTCACATGTGCTGTACCAATGTACCTGCACATGTGATGTGACAATAAAAGTGATTTGATTTGACTTGATTTGATTTGATTTGATTATCATCTTAACAAATTTAATCTGGCATACAGAAAGAGCAGATTTTGAAAACGCTCCAAGTTTAAAGTTTAAAGTTTCTCGGATGTAATCTGAACCGTGGAGGACTGAGAGCTCGCCTGTGGTCCAGATGAGAGAATTAGCCAAAATCTGCTCAACATCCATTTGAATTTTACCTGATGGTGTCTGTTTGTGCTCTACAGAATCCTCTCCTCGCCGACCTGCTCTCAAAACAGAAAACTGGTCTTTGTTCTGGGCTCTGAACTTTTACCAGGAAGTTGCTTTTAGGGGCCACAAGGGGGAATCAAAACCCACAATTTCAGCTATGATTTTAAAGCTGAACTGTAAAATATCCTGTTTTCAAAAAGTAGTCCAAAGTGTTATTGTTTATTTTCTAATGATTGTGTGTCATATTTAAAAAGAAATAAGGCACTTATTAGCATAGTGGGACATAGTAAACAAGTACAGTAAGTGCAAACAAAAAATAAAACTGACTTGAATTGTAGAAAGCTCAGACTGACTTTACAAAGACTGACCTTTGTATTTGTTACAGAGGAATTTCTTACTTACAGGCGGCAAAGTCAGCAGTGTGGTTGAACCTTTAGAAAGAGAATTTCACAGTGAGATTAGAGCTATAATTAATTAATTGTAAATTAATTGTTAGTGGCAGATACTTACCCCCTTCAACTTTAACAGATTGTGAGGCCATTGTTAGGTTTCCACGAACAATGTGAGCAGATACAGTGACCGGTGAAGGGATCAGGATGGTGACTGATATAGATGTTGGGATTCCATGTTGGAGGGCTTTGGGAGCAAGGAGCAGGTAGGAGGGCTGAGGGTGGGGGCTGAGGAAAAAACCCATAATATATAAATATATTTATTTACACCCAAAAAAAAACCATCATTAAGAATAACAAGTTGGTGTAGAAAACCTGAAAGGGCGAATGGAAACAGAAACCTTCCCCACTGTGAACATTTATTATTTTATTGGAACTAATTTATTATAAAAATATGTACTTACATTAGTTTAAATCTATATCTTTTAATCAACTTGTGCAAAAATGACTGTAAGGCAATAAAACATGTTTGTAAAAATAATGAAAAATCACCTTAGATTCAATGAATTTTTAACACCACTCCTGCAGTTTTGAACTGACTTTTTATTTTCTAAAATGTAGGAAAATATATTTAAAAACTGTAGCAGAAGAGGAAAAACACTCATGAAGAAGCAGTTTAAACTGTCCAGGTGAGTCCTGTAGTTCAGCCTGTGTGCTTACCCGTTTGTGGTTTTCTGGGCGGCGGTGAGAACGATGAGGCTGAAAATGCCCCACACCTGGAGACGCTCCATTTGTATCAATGAAATTCACTCCAGAGAGCTTCTCTCAGTACTGAAAGCAGGTAATATCAGTTTTTGCCTTCATACCTGCAGACAGTAACCACACCCACCTCCTACTTCTCATCATCATCATCATCATCATCATCATCCGATATCACCTGAAGAATTGAACCAGGATCAGTTTACCTGAATCCCACTGGGAGGCTTTTATTTCTTGTGCTCTGATTCAGGTCATAATGAGAGTAGAAACACATAAACAGGCAAATATTTACAGCAACAGTAGTACAGCATACCTCTCCTGTATATATATTTTTGTATCACCAGGGGCATCTAGTATCTGAACAGAGTCAACCCAAGACCAATGATTGGACAATTAGTTCACTACAGTTGTACCTGGAGGAAGGATTGTCGTCTCCTCTCCAGACAAAACTGGCAGAACTGATCATCAGGTTTTACATTCTGGGAACCAGACCTGTAAGTGATCACAAAGTTAAAGCAGGTGAAGAAGAAAGCCCACCTGGTGTGTCTAGTGTTCAGTCATTTGGTGGCTTTGAGTTGAGCAAGGTTTATGTTTTTTGTTTCTGACCAAATTATTAATGGATCCTCGGCTCTCTCAAGCCAGCGTTTCTGCTCTTTGAGCTCCAGTTTCGCAGCCAACAGTTTCCAGTCACTGTTGTCAGTGTTGCATTTAGCTGGGGAGAGACATGAGAAGCAGGCAAAAGGATGCATTTGCTCTCCTTTGTACTGAGATTAACTTGTGCAAATTTTAACCACGTGAAAAAAAATTACTCATAACCATCTCACAGACATAACATTATGTACAGCTACTTTCATTATCATTTTTTTTTACTCTTTTTCTCCAATTGATCCGCGTTAAGTTCAGTAATAACTTCTTACAGTAATAAGTCCTACCACTAATTAATCTTTCAATCTTAAATATGATCAACCTCTCTCTAATAATTGGCTATGTACCACAGGCCTTCAAGCTAGCAGTAGTTAAACCGTTACTTAAACAGTCATCACTTGATCCAGAACTCTTAGGTAATTATAAGACAATCTCCAAACTTCCTTTTTGCTTAAAAAATCTTGATTGTCATTTATTATCTTACTAATATCATTTTAAATTATTGGATGTAACCTTAAAGCAAGGTTTAAATCAAGCCTGATGTTGTCACACACATTAAGGAATTAATCGCACTCTTATTAATTTAACACTGATATGGGATCAGTACTCGGTATCAGCAGATATCTTAAGCCAGAATATCTGTCAGAACTGGAAAAAGTTGCATTGAAGCAGCTTGTTGAGTCTCAGCTGATGGCTGTGTAGCACTTTGATCTGCTTTTTAAATGAGAAATACAAATGATCTGACTCTCAATTACTGATCAGAATAAATAAATAAGGAATACAATGGTGTGAAAAAGTGTTTGCCCAGTGCAAAAACAAACACTTTATCCTGAAAAAGAAGGAAATTTGAACAACAGACAGAACTGGAGAAGACTCTTGAATAAGAGGTGAAATGTTTTCACAGAAACTGGCCAGTTGTCACAAAGAACTGTTTTTCCTAGGAAAAGCACTAATGTTTTGCTTACCATCAAACTTGGATGATTCACTGATCCTTGGCACAAATTCCAATTGTAATGGGAATCAGACACAGTGACTGAATTCCCACCAATAAGGGAACAAGTGGAGGTTTCTACACAAAGATCCTTTCTTACTGAACTGCAGCTCTCACACTTTAAGTTTTTGACACGGCCATGTGATCTTGCAGGGCTGCCGTGGTCCTTATGAAGATAGTACAAGAGCTCACATTCATTACAACTACAGGCCTCACTTAGTGAAAGTCAGTGTTCATGACTCCACCATAACATGGCCATAAAATGGCCTGCATGGCAGAGCTTCAAGAT